GGGGGGGGGGGCATGCAGTTGTCCCCTGTACCCGCAAGGAGAGAACTTTCTGTGGATGAACACTGGAAGTCTCTACTGCGGCACTCTTTTTACCCTCATCTTACAGATGATTATTGAAGTTGAAGTTTAGGGGGGCCTTGAGTAATTTGCCTAAAGACTTCAGGTTAGTAGAGTTTGGAGCCAGAATCTCAGTCTCCAGTTGCCGTGCTCTTCATTACTGTGCATAGTAGCCTCTTCTTGATTATTCTCTTTATTAAGGTGCTGATTATAATCTGGAATCACAGAGTATTTTCTGAGTGGGGAAAAAATCTGACCCCAAAAGGCATCCCTTGGTATTACATAATTTGGTTTCTTAAAATAGATTTAAAAAATTGTTTTATTTATTCATTACTCATTTATTTTTTTTGAGAGAGTGGGGAGAGGGGCAGAGGGGCAGAGGGAATATTTAGCAGGCTCTACACAGCATGGAGCCCTGCTTGGACCTCGATCCTACAACCCTGGGATCATGACCTGAGCTGAAATCAAGAGCTGGATGCTCAACTGATTGAGCCACCCAGGCACCCCAAAATAGGTTTTTTGATGGAGTGTTATTTCAGTGGCAAGTTTGGTATTTATGACTACAAGGCTGAGCAGTCACTGCTATAAGTCACTTGCTATGATTAGAGCCACATCACATTGTATTTGGACTTGTGGTAGACACTGAAAATTTCCATTCCACTGTAAATGGTCATTCAGCTTTATTGTTGTGTCTTCCAACTTTTATCTGCTGGAAAAGCTAAAGCTGCTTTTTGTATACAAGAATAAATTTTTGACACTTTTGTTGTTTAAGTTAGACTGGTCTTTTACGGGATTTGTGCCTACCTCTACAGCTTAATTTCCTAGGAGGAGAGAGGGGGGAAGGAGTGTCTAAATGATCACATGTGTCAAGGATTAACGCTTTTTCTTAAGTGTAAGGCTTTCTCAGTTGTACCTTATAAATCCTGATGCTGCCTTTTGCCTCTGACAGTTTATACTCAGTTAATTTTGAATTTTCTTCCTTCACTTAAAGATTTATTAAATAAATGTTATTTACGGTCAGCATATGTTAAGTAAGAATGAGGGCAAGATTAGGCCAAACTTTGAGCTGCCACTTAGAATTTTCCAAGTTGTTGCTTGAAATCCATTCGCTTAATGTTTGATGACACAAACCTTGAAGGCCAAAGAGGATGCTCTGTGAGAATCTGATCGGAAAGGCTGTAGTAGCCTCATGACACTCAGGGAGTTGTGAGTCCGTTCTTACTTCATGAATTACATGAGTCTGTGTGTATGTGTGTGTTAACCTCTAACCCGTAGCCTTGCCCATTTTGGTCAATGCCACCACCATCTATAGTTGCTCAAGCCAGGAGCCTAGAAGTCATCCTTGATTACACTGTGGACCGAGGCAAAGGGTGGAATCTGTCAGCAGTCCTGGCAGTGTGGCTCCAGTCTTATTGCCTTCTCCCTCCATCTCTCTATCCTACTAGACTGGGCCACCTTCAGCCACTCACCTGGATACCACAGTGGTTTTGTCATTGATTTCTTGGCCTCTTCTCTTCTCTATTCCAGCCTCTTTGCCTATATGGCAGTAGGCAATATCCCAATATCCATCAGATCATTTTGTCCTCCTCCTTGAAATCCTCCCCTGGTTGGCTTATTGTACGTACTAAATTCAGTCACTACACTGATCTGTAGGGCCCTGAGTGATCTGGTCTCTGCCTCCTTCTCCGTCCTCATCTTAAACCTGCCCCGCCTTGTGTTCTCCATCTTGCCCCCAGCCTCACTGGCCTTCTAGCCATTTCTGGGCCATCTCTTTCCCGCTGCAAGAAAGACCATGTTATCTTGAGGTTTTGGATTCCCCACAGTCTGTTTCTTTCCCCCTCTCTTTTCCATGGCTCGCTCTTCTTCTTCATTCTTCGGGATTTGTGCACTGTCCCCACCATCCTGTCTAGAGTAGGTTCTGTCAAATCAATTCATTAATGAAGGAACCAGCATAGAGTAAAACTGGCTCAGGAAAATACAGGAGAGTCAGAAGTATTTATAGTCCTGGAAGGAAAGAATGCTGGAATAAGATTGCTAAATTACATATAAAATTGATGAATGCCCTATAGAGCAATAAAACTGTGACTTGGCTATTAGATTCTCTCCTGGGATGAAATTCACCTGCATTGCTATTAGACAAGGTTAGTTAGCTAACAGTTTTCTGTGAGTTAATATCCATCCTTTCAGTGTTGTAAGATGCCTAATGAAGAGTAAACAGTAAGTCAAAACAAAAGTACATGTCCCTAGGGAGTTAGGTAATCTTTGGATGGGTTAATCCTGTTAGATGATGCTTCTGTGTGACTGTCCCCTCCCTACTTTACTTTCAGCATCTGCTCCTTTATGGCACTTTCATCAGTTTGTAAATACTCCTTTATAGGTTTGTCTAATTTCTGTCTTCCTCACTAGTCTGCAAGCTTACCTAAAGGGAAGGGAGGAGGATCTGGTAGCCCCTGCTCTGTGTACCACTGTGGACACTCAAGGCATGTTTGTTGAATGAGTGAAGAGATGAATGCTGATGAATGAGGACCGAGTGTTAATCATCTGTCACTTTTTAATCTCAAACATTTGGATTTCAGGTTCACCCAGAACTCCTAAGGGATTTCTAAAGAAGTCCTCTTTCTCAGGCCGTGGTTCCCAGCCTTGTTTGCACTTGAGAATTGCTGGAGAGCTTTAAGTGCAAACTAAAAAATACAGGTGCCTGGGGCCACTTCCAGAAATTCTCATTTCGTTAGCCCCGGAGTGCAGCCTGAACGTGGGGATTTTTAAGAGCTCCCCCATGTGATTCTTATGTGGAGCTGGGGTTGAGAGCACGTTCTAATGAAAACGGAGTAGAGCATTTTCAAGAGCTTTGCTTAAACTGTGTTTATAGTTTTGGTTATATCGGGACCTGAGTTGGAGTGAGGCCAGGGGCACCCAGGGCACATAACTTTAAGGGGAAAGTCACACTCTGGGCCATACAAGTGCTGATTCTGCATTTACACGACCCTGAGAGTGAGCACCTCCTTAAATGTTGGCTCTAGGCATCTCTCTAGCCTCACCCTATTTTGCCGGTTAAACAAATGGTGAAACCTTAGGATAATTTAGGAGGAGAGAAGCAGGGGGTGAAATTGAGGACCATTGGAGAATT